GTTCATCCAGCTTCAAATCGTTGTTACTATCTATCCAGCAATGCCAGACGCGGATGAAAAAGGTCACAAACCATATTTCTTCAACCCGCTCTAGTGGATTTAGTGACGGATTCTCATAAGCATCAAAAACAGATTTCATGAGGGCTATGTATGCTACAGTTCCGTTTGTTCCCGGTTGTGTTTTTAAAAGATTTGATACTCGTGGATCGATAAGTTTCGCAAACGTTTTGACACTCATTTTGTCGTGCTGCTCCAAATCAGCTACTAGGAGACCAGTTTTCTCTTTGCCTTCTCTAGCTACAATTTCCAAATGACCTCGCGATACTGGAAATTTTCCTACAAATAAGTTAAATAAATCGGATTTAAGTAAAAACTGGGATGAAAACAAGTATAAAAACTTATCATACCAATCTGCAACGCTCTTGTGTGTGACAACAAGGCATTTTTTAACTTATTCACTAAATGAATCGTATCTTGGACATAAACGACAGAAGACCGCCCCTTAGCAGCATACCACTGTTTCCACTGTTCAGGTATTCCTTGCGGCGAATTGTTGTTTTCGCGTGGTAGGCCCATTCTTAGTTTCATGCTGCCAATTAGGCGGGAATCTCCATCAGCTGCATATCCGAGGACAACAATCCCATGGTCGCTCAATTGTTTCTCCATAATAGCCCATCGAAGCAATACTTGGTCAATGGTAAATTTGTTGTCCGTACCGAAGCTCAACAAGTTGAATGAAATCGTTTTTTCCGCTACTGAAGTTGCCAATATCACGTAGACTATAGAGCTTTTTGCCCTAGAATCTATATACTCCTTTATCACTTCAGGAGATGTGGCTGGAAAGGATGCAACTTCCGGTATACCGTTTTCATCCATGAGTGGACAAAGACCTGCAACCTGATTTTGCGCTATATCATACTTGATCCTGGGCGTCAGTTTTGTTCCATCTTCAGAAATGAATACAACCAATGGAAGACCTTGCTTTTGAAGAAATTTCCTCAACTGGATGACACGCAGTTGTCCTTCGATGACTTTCTCACAGGACTTGCCAATATGGTGAATTATTGTGGATGCTGATGGAAGTCCAAGGTTTACAACTAATTCCTCATAATCTTTTCGGCCTCCCATTAAATATAGATATGAGCCAATATTTTTGATTTCATCCGTGTACCGAGCGCCTTTTCCACTGTTCGGATTCCTTGAAATATTTTTGAAATTGTTTCTGACCGTTTCCTTAATAATTAGTTTCACCATTTGTGTTAACGGCAGACGATCAATAAGAGCTAGTAAATCGCGAGAATCTTTCGTTTCTGACGAGCAATTTGAACTTGATGATTCCATCGAGTATTCCATATAAGAACGTGGTTTCACTTTTGCGACCGACCGAGGTGCTGAGTTCACGGCGTATTCAGCAGTCGTGTTTGAGGTCGTGTTATTGAAAAATTTTGTTATTTTTATCTGTTTGGGGTCTCGTGCCGCTTCAGTCGTCATCTTTATGTTCCTCTTCATTGAACGACTTGTGCTGCACTTGAGCCTGTTTGGTTTGAATGACTTTAGCACCAACAGGTCGAGCTCATCTTCTGCTTCTGAATTTGTATCCGATTCCTCGTCCGATTCATTGGTATTTTCTTCACGGATTTTCCTCGGGGTTTCGTGGGAGTCTGCTAGAAACAGTGGAAAATCGTGATTCATCACAAATAGCATACAATATTTTTTAATATTGTTATAGATATTTACTTACTTTGATCTTGCGTGTGGTTCTGAACATGGGAGGTGTATTTTCCAATCATCCAAAGACAATTTCTCTCTGATAGTCTTCTTGCTTTGATGTCTACATAGGTTTTGCAAACTATGCACTCCACTTTAGCTGTGAAATCATCAATGATGTCAATTCTAGGCTGTCTAACTCCTCTCAAATCCAAATCATTTCCGATCAGTTGACTGATGATTCGAATGTGGGCTGCATGCTCGGCTGCATGGCTATCGTCCGTGATACTTTCACTCATTTTATAGTTTTTATCGCTTTTCACGTTTATATTCCACTTGACACTAAAGCAGTTTGGATAAAAACAACGAGCTCTTGACGTTTCTAGTTAGTTGATGCGGATTTTTATTAATGACAGATGTGCACACGTTAAAACTGAAATACTCATAATAAAATACACTGAAAATACTTCGAAAAATACTTTATACACGAAAAATACATTAAATAATACAAAAATACACTAATTAATACACTTTAATTCAAAAATGCACAGAAATACATAAATGCAAAAAATAATACATAAATACGGAAAAAATCCTTTTCAATACGGACAGATGAATCGAAAATACTCGAGTTGACAGCCCCTCGCCAATAGGCTACTAAAGTGGTGAGCCAATTTAAAATCGTTAGTTTCGTATTGATTGTTGGTAGAATGTAGCCAGACGAACCAACAATTAACACGGAGATGAAAAACTACCCAAAATTAAGTACTTTTCCCTCAATTCCGGGGTTCAGCCCAATAGCCCAAATTTGAGTAAATTGCATTTAGTAGTTTCCATTTAACACCAGCAAAAAAATGACCTACTCTTTAGCGAGCTCCTAAGTATATTCTACCCACAGACAAACAGACATAACAGTCGCAAGTTGTTCATCGAACAAGCATTTAACGGTCAATTTAAAAGTATCGTAGTTGGTAGTATCAACAATCAATACGAAACTAACGATTTTAAATTGGCTCACCACTTTAGTAACCTATTGGTCCCAAGCAAACGATTAACGTACCCTATTCTAGTTGAAATTCTATTACTACACTATGTTTGATTTGATTCGCTATGAAAATTTGACAGATAACATCAGGGGTGTGTGGATTCATGCAGAACATGCAAGGGTGAGTGAAATAGCTTGGGACTGCTTGGGACCGTTGTTCTAGTACTGAGTGAGCCAAAAATAATAATGATTTTCTTCGGGACCCAGTGGTCATTGAAATATTCAATGTGTTATGTCTGTTTGTCTGTGGCTGAACTGTATCGTTGGGTCGAATCTCTCGTTCCTTTTTTGACAACAATAACGAGTGCAAGTGAAAGGCTGAAGTCAATATTAAGTAAAAAGAATTGAAATTTTGGGTATTTTTTTTTCTCCATGAATACGAAACTATCGATTTGAAATTGGCTCACTACTTGACTAGCCTATTGCTCCCAAGCAAATCGATTAACGTACCCCATTCTAGTGAAAATTCTAGTACTACACAATGTTTTTTTTTTGATTCGCTATAAAAGTTTGACAGATAAAATGAGGGGTAAGTTGAATTTCCTATGTTTGGAGGGGTGAATTGATTAGCTTGGGACCGAAGATAGTACCAGAGCCGAGACCAGAGCTGAGCCAAAAAGTAGAGCCCCTTTCTTCGGGACCAACTAGTCTTAGAGTTACCTCTATAGCTTAGTATACAGATCGAAGCGAAACGAAAATTGAAGCACGCGAAAAATCATGAAATTTCGCTAGCGAAAAAGGTTGTGAAAAAATGTTTGTGGAACATTTTCCAGTTTCCTTTTTTCGCAGTGTGAAACGAAATCGGTCAGTTTACACCTCCGGTGAAGTGAAATTCTGACAGATACGCTCTTTCTCGAAACGTCAACTTTTCGCTTACCTGCTGCTCTTTTCGCTAGCGCTGCATGCGCGAAAAAAAAATGAACGTAAGCGAAAAAGATACGATCCACAAAATAAGATTTCGCTGGATCGTATCTGTTTACAGTTCAAAGCGAAGCGAAATATTTGCCAATTGCGTTTTTTGCGCAGGTGAAAAATGTAGTATTTTGTATGAGATTTTCGCTTCGCTTAGATCTCTATACAGGCCTTATGGACGAACTGCTAGTTAGTGTTGCAAAACGAGCATGCCTTCACCATGGTGCTTTTTTGCGGTGGAACTCTCGTCAACAGCTGGAATGTGAACACATGAAAATCATGTGGAATTTTACATGGAAATTCGCCAATAAAAATGTGTTGAATTTTATGAGTGTACCTTATAGTCGATCGACATATTGACCTTAAGCTCAATCAATGTAATGTTCTGGTCATTGTAGACATAGCTTTTGCGGATCCGTATGATCATGAATTGATTCCGATCAGCTGCCCCAGGTCGGATTTCTCACAGACAGGTAGAATTCAGAATTGGAATGGAAATCAGTTCCCGCTGCTGAGTGAACGTTCTATCCGGTAAACAATATAAGTTTTATTTTATAAAGAAGTTTATTTACCTGTTTGTTAAATTGAAGACTGGAAAAAGAACCACTACACACACACAAACAAACAAAATGTTGCTTTAAAAATAATGCATGATCAAATTAAAAGTTTCCCAAATTTCGTAGTTTCAACTATGAAATTTTTCAAATGTAAACATATTTTTTTGGTTTAAAAGTGTTTCTTTCACTTTCCTAATTGATGTGTTTTGATTTTCAGCAGCCTCGTCAGACTCGCCGGAAAGCAAGGCTACTCCCATTATCACCATCACCAACTGTCGAGCCAACTGTATATTTGCGTAAAACGTTATATTACACAACCGATGGATTGACCTGGTTGCAGCAGTTTGGATGTAATATTCAACAAATTTTTTTTCTGTGTAACTGACTTTTGTTTTGAAAGCTAAAGAACTTATATCAAAAAGATCCAACGAAAACTTTTAATTCTACCAATGGATTTTTTTCAATTTTACTAACGATAATTTTTTTGTAGAATGAGCACCATTGCATTTTTTTAATTATACCGAATGATTTCTATGCCTAGCGGATCTAGCATATGTTGAAATCAAATTGTCAAATCAATTCAATGTATAAAAATTGTAGAACCATAAACTGGTTAATTTAAAATCATTTTTTGTTTTGTCATATTTTGAGTGATTCACTGACTCAAATTTGGGTAGTTTAGAAAAAGCGTGTTTGATGAGTTCAGTCACAGGGATGTTAATTATCCGTGCCGCAAACGTCAAAAATTATCAAAACCATCAAAACAATCCACACCGAAAGAAACGTGCTTCTTTTTTGTTCGGTGGTCACTCGGATATACGACCGTATTTTGGATTTAGTATTTTTCCTGGGACAGTTCCGTAAAACAGAAATTCAAAATGCCGTACGCCCGAAAGAAGATGCACGATGGCGACACTCATCTGCGCCGGCGGTGGCGACTGCGAAATCGCAAGAAGGATCTGGACCAGATCGATTTGGATCTGCAAAAAAGCTCGGACCAGCTGCTCAACCAGGAGGTTGATTTGGAGAAACCGGGATTCGCTCAGTTCTATTGCATTCACTGTGCCACCCACTACATCAACGACCGAGCCATGCAGGATCATTTCCGCACCAAGGTCCACAAGCGACGTCTGAAGGCGCTGGAAATCGAGCCGTACACGGTGGAGGATTCCCTACGAGCTGCCGGAAAGGGAAGTTTCGTTCAACCACAGAAGCGCAAGATGGAGACACAACCCTCGAAGCAGGATTACGCCGAAGGAAAACGGGTCAAGGTGGATGTCATGATCGAAGAGGAGAAACCGGCGAAGCAGAACTTGTCCAGGGCTCCCAAGTATGACGGACAGTTTAAGAAGATTATGGATGATCTAACGACTCCGGCCACTTAGCAATGAAACACGGTTGTCCTGTAGGATCAGGTAAGTTAGTTTTAATGAACATTATTTTTTTCTTCTGTATATTACACAAAAAAATCCGTTTCAAACATAGTGGATGGTTTTTTTTTTTTGTAAAGTTGGGGACAATTTCTATTGCTTCTTGGTAGGACTAAAAGAAAGCACTGTTATGATGATGACTAAAGATGAACAAGAATCTAACGCGAATCAAATTGGTTTGGCGTTGCTGTCTGGTTGTTGGTTCCCTAAAGTTTGTCCATGAAGTGAGGCAGTCCGTTGGCATTCCTCCGCAGTGTTAGAATATCGCAGCCCGTTTCGGTGACCAGCAGCGTTTGCTCGAACTGCGCCGAGTATAGGCCGTCAGCCGTGACAGCGGTCCAGTCATCCGGCCAGGATACGTCGCGCCAGGATCCCTCGGAGATCATGGGCTCGATGGTGAAACAGTGGCCGGGTTTCATCACGCCGACGGCATTGTTTTCTGTGAAAGGAAGCGGGAGATTGGGGTTTAGAGTAAATTGTGTGGGTGCTTTAACGGATTTCCCATACAAAAGCAATATATTTATAAGATATTTTACAAAGTCACTATTTCCCAAATAAAAATCAGTCGTGACTTTTTCACAACCAATATACTGTCTTTCTACGCAAAAAAAGTCCAGCGGACTCGAAAAATAAAGTAAGATTTTGGAGTTAGGAAACTTTTCAAGGCTAGTTTGGAGACGATTTTCAGAATTATCAAAGGAATTAATATGAAAAAGAAAAAACTTTGACGTAATTCTACATATGGATAACACCAATATATTGTAAAGAAGAATTCCAAGGTGAACACTATGAAAATCTCATGAAAATTTCGATGACGATGTTTACTTTCCGTGTAAATTAAGGATGACATAGAGATAACTCAAATAAAAGTAATCATTTGACAATCTGAAAATATTTACTTAACATCAAACTGTCCAACATTAGACTCTATTCAACTATGGTGAATGCACAGTTTGAAACTCTGGGCAGAACAGAACTTCAAGGGAGTTCGACTTAAACTCCAAAATAATTTAAGCAACGAATTCTATGGTGATAATGCGAAACACTACAGGTAGGATAAGATGGGGCAAGATGGGTCATCTACCTAATTTATAAATTTTATTGATTGTCTACATCGACCGGCTTAATGTAGCCCCAATGCTGATTTTGAAAAAGCAAACCATCATTGGGGTTGTATTGAACCTGACAATCAAATAAATCGCTATCGCTGGGTGTTGGGAAACAACCACAATACTCGCCACGGTGCTGCTATCGGGATTAAAGCAACTCTTCCCTGCACCACCATACCGCTATCTACTGTGCTACAATCCGCTTGCAATCACTGTAATCTCTGTCTAATTTCCCAGTCAGAAGATCCCTGGACTTAAAGGTAAGACCTACTCTCCTCCATCGACGGCCCAATACTTCTTCTAGGTGATGTAAACGGCCCTCACCAAGCATTGGCAGCTCTCTAAAAAAAACAACAGCCGATGTCCTGGAAGCGACTGAAACCGTTGATCTAACTCCTCGTAATGATGGATTCCAGCGACCATCACCCCATCGAAATCCGACTCGACTGTAGACCAACCGAAGCCTTCCGTAGACCAAGCTGGATCTACAATCAAGCAGATTGGACAAGTTATCAAAAGGCAATCAGCGTTACCTGCAGCTAATCCGACCAACCTCTCAGACTACATTGGTTTAATTCAAGCTTCCAAATGCTCATTACAGGCCGGATTTGATTATCCGGGGCTCGATTATCCGGAGGAAATGGCTCGATTATCCGGAGTTTTATTTTTTTACCTATCTTGCAAATTATTTTTCATAAACCGCTTGGAAAACCGACTTTCGATCCGAGGACGAGTAACATACATCGTTCGATTCAGTCTGACAAGATCGGGAAATGACTATAGGTACCGTGCCAGCACCATATTTGACGCGTCCCTAATGATGACGCACTCGTCTAATCTTCACGGTAACCAGCGTAAACACATTAATGAGTAAAAAAATACACATTTTTTATATTTATATGCAGTTGTCAAAAAATGTGTAAATTTGGAGATCTTAAAATGTGTAAGAAAATACACATTTTAAGAATGAAGTACCAGTCAAAAAATGTGTATTTTTATACTCATTAATGGGTAAAAAAAACTTCAAACTTTGCTGTATCCTGCGTAAACAAGACGCCATTTGTATATATTTCCTGTTTAACGGAAAATGAAGGAACTATGTTCCAAGCTGGACAGTGCAACGATGGACATACTAGACGGTAGGTGATTAATACTATTTTCATAATTAAGTTTTAGAAAAAAAAATCATTCAATGTCCGGTGTCTCGCTTGCTTGCTTCATACTGATTTTTGTTTTTTTCCTTGATTTGTTTTTCTGTGCTGAGCACCAATGCTACTGACGACAGGAAGGCAGCTCCCACACCTGGATCCTTCCCGTTCGATCCATCAACTCATGAACCGGGGACCAATGGCTTTACTTCCGTTTCGGAGGAAGGCGTGATTCTCGGCGTGATCAGAGATTTTATGCCTCAGAACATCCCAGCGGTGCCGACTGGAATTGAATCCAGGCCAGCTGGGGTAAGAGGTAATCACGCTTATCTCTACACCACCGGCGCCACTACTGATTTTTTGATGGCATTCCTTTTTTTTTAATAAAATATTATTTTATTCGAGCAATCTTTATTTTATCATTGACACAAATAAGAAAAGTCCGAAGTTAATAAAAAACCATGCGCACCCATTATATTTAAGTTCTAGAAATGATTACTTATTACACATTTCGCCGTAAAAACCGTTCTTGAAAAATGTGTAAAAAATACACTTCTATTGACGTTTGCTGGGTTTACACATAAATGTGTAAACGTAATTTACACATTTTATGAGTAGGCCCCTTTTTTCACGAAATGTGTGAAATTTTACACATTAATGTGTTTACGCTGGTTACCGTGTTTATCGCATCTCGATTTTGACAAGATATTTTTTTAAACGTTGTTACATCAACATCCCTAGAGCACAGGAACTAATACTTGCAGAAGTAACATTTCAAAAATAATTATTGAAAATAGCCAAACATTATTGAGTGCGTCGATTTAAGAACCGCTTCGAATATGGTGCCTCCACGGTATTTAAGTGTTTGTGTTCCTTTGTTAAGGCCGGCGCACAATAGATACGTTTTCGGGTTTTTTGACAGATAATGCATGGGCTAACTGTCAAAAAAGCTGAAAACGTATCTATTGTGCGCCGGCCTTTACAAAATCCGAAAGGAATCGAACATAATAATCATGTGTCACAACAACATACAAAAACTGAATCCCATGATGGTCCGTTCACTAATTACGTCACGTTTCAGGGGGGGGGGGGGGGAATGGCAACCGAACAAAAATTTTGAAGATCCGTAAAAAAATGTAGCAAATGTACCAAAATGTACCCTCCGTTACTCGCTCTGTTGTACTTTGTACAACACACATGAGTTTTCCATTGCCATTTTGTTGCTAAGTTACCAATCGATCTGAAACCAACGAGTATTCCTCCAAAAACTTGTTTTGATCTAAACAAGCTAAACTTTGATTACAGTAAACACCTAAAAAATGCGGATAATAGGGAAAATGTAAATGGAAACCGCGAAAACTGTGCCCATACTACGTGGGATTTTACTTAATTGATTACAACATGGAATATATCAAGATTCTGACAAGATAGAAAGTTACTGTCTCTGACAAAGTTGTTCAGGAGATCATCAAGGGGTAGGTCACTCCGCACAGCAATCTTGGGTCATCTTTTTTGTCAGTGTGCCGCAAGTATGCCGATTGTGCCGGTCATAGAGCAAGCTGCTATTGTTTGTAAAACACCCATCCCGGCAACCCGGTATTTCTGACACCTTGAATGTTTTGGTTTGAAATCGTATTGAGGATGACGCGGGAAGTGGCGAGTGTGCGAAATTTCGGTGTTTCGGGATCCATAGGGTAATAAAAATCCTGTGTTTTAGTGTTTTATAATGCCCTCAAAGGCAGACCAGAAACCTAGCCGGTGGGGAGCATTGTTGGAGACCGACTATAGAGGGTGATGAATAGACTTTGTTGGCGAACCTGGATGAAGTGGCGGTCGACACGGTGAACAGGGCAGCAGCAAAGCAGGAACGAAACCAGTACCAGTGGTCAGCGAAGCAGGAACAAACGGGGCAACTAGTGGCACAATTCGTGGAGTACTTTTCTTCCTTGCAGTGAGGAACACGAGAAAGGTTTTGTGTGTGTTTCGATAAAGACCAATTTAATACTGATTTAAAGAGGGTCAACCGATCATTATCTTCCCTAACTGGTTGAGTTCGGGGTTTATTTGGCACGATCGTGAAGCGATCCGATTTAAAGGAGATAATGATATAGAGTGATAAGCTAGTCTACCTACTCTCGTATCTTATCGTTTGGCTCATTATTGATTGGAGGTATAACAATTCAATTTTTAATGGGGTTCTAATTAAGGAATACAAATTTCAACAGTGTTCACCTACTTATTAAGTTCTTCAACAGACTTCTTTAGTTTGTTTTGTGGGAGTTGCAGCATTATTTGAATTAGGGGAACTAATGAGGCCTGATTAACTGCCTCTTTCTCTTGAGCCCACTCTGGAACCTACATTTCGTATTTAGATCTATAAGTGAACTGCTGGTCTGAGTTCCTCTAGTATATTCAATTAGAAGATGTTCCTGAACATACAGTCAAACAGCACGTAATGTTCTGAACAACTTCAATGACAGTTGTCCAGCAGTGCTCCCATTTTATTTACAACAATCTAATGCCTACGAGATTGTGCCGAAGGTATGATGAAAATGTGCCGATGGATGTTCCCAAGATGTGCGGAATATAATTTTGACACAATGTGCTAAGTGACTTACCCCTTGGAGATCATAGCCTTGTCGCTGGCGGACAGTAGTTCAGAATTTTCTCACTACGTAGCGCTAGTATACATGTGAAATTCTCGCATGTGATATATCTCGAGATCCTGACCAAATAAAAAGTTACTGTCTTTCACAAAGTTTTTCAGGAGATCAAAGCCTATTGCTTGGTGCTCAATAGTTCAGAATTTGCTCACTACGCGACGCTAGTATACACATGAAATTCTCATATAAAATATCACGAGTTCCCAACCAGATAGAAAGGTACTGTCTTCGGCATAGTTGTTCAGGATGTCAAGGCTTTTTCGCAGGTGACAGTAGTTCAGAGTTTTCTCACTTTGCGGCGCTACTATAGCTGTGAAACTCTTGCATATAAAATATCTCTAGATCCAGACCAGATAGAAAGTAAATGAGTTAACAACGGAGTCACCCCAGCGTCAACACTTAAGAAGTCACCGGCACCGGCAGCACCAACGGGCACCTGCACCGAGACAGTAAAGTCAGCATTATCACCACGCGGCAACAGCCACATGGACGGATCGAGTACCAGCACCACGACGGACT